TGTAATTATTATATCATCATTTGCATGTCTCTGAATAACGTAATAAAACAAATAAATATAGTTTTTAATAACAGAGATTATCCGTGCATCCTTTGTATAAGAAAAGATGTAATCATTTTTTAACTTCTTTAGCTTATTGAAGAGAGACAGGAGACTGTAAATGTTATTACAGCAAGCTAGAGGTTTCATCATTTCTGGATATTCAATTCTCGAAACATCCAAATCCAAATATATAAATAATTTGGCAAGAGAAATGCTAGATACACATAAACCATTACAGAACGTCCATTCTCTCTACCATGGTAACAGTTTATTTTTTCTGAAACATTTTACCATAAAATTATAATTTTTATTTTTACATATTTTTATTTAAAGTATGACGTGTATTTTAAATATTATAAAAATATTACAATAGAAGAACAAATAATTACATCGGATTTAACAAATGCCATTGCAACTTATATTCAGCATGTTTTTTGCATTCGCTATCACCGAGAACACATGCCCATCTTAGAGCTTCTTGTCTTAAACATTTAATAAGGCTGTCGTCGTTAGGTTCTTCCTCGTACCCAATCTTTTGAAGAAGCGGAACCAGTTGCATTAGTACTTTCATCTATAAGTATTGTGAAGTAACATAAAGATAACATTAATTATTCAAAAAATTTTAAGCTGAATCTTGTAGACATGTAACACATTTTATTTTTCTCAATTAGTTACATTATATCTTTTAGAGAAAGATTTAGATTATTATAAAGGAAATATTAATATTTTGAACATAACAACATAAATTGTCAAAATTTTCCTTGCTGAAATCGCTTGTACCTTAAAGTTTTTACTTTCGATGTCATAATAAGGTAGAATGTATGACATGTGCTCAACAACTTTAAACATAGGATACCATGCTACATAGTCCGTTTCTGACTTTAGGTAGCTTGTGGCTTCCCAAAATACATAAAAATTTAATTTGCCTGATATCGCTAAATGGAATGTATCATCGATGATTTGAGCACGATTTAAAACATTAATATTTGTATAATTCTCGGAATTAAGATAACTTATAATTTTTAACCAACTTTCCAAATTATAAAATACACGGTAATACCTATCATATAATAAATAAATATTATTTATCATTAAATTGTATTAAATTAAATGTAATTGGTATTAAGTAGAGATGGTAGAAATATCATTAAATGTTATTTTTATCTCTAAATGCGACTAAAAATACTTTCATTAGGTAATAATTAAGCTTGTATTATAAATAATAAGAAATTGGTATTTACGAACTGATATAATATTAAATTTTACATTGAATTTTGCAGACCATTTAGTTGACAATTTGTTTACAGAAATAAATTAAAGTTTTAGGAAAGTTAAGCTTTGTTCATAAATATTTCATATCAGAAAGTTAATTAGAGAATTCCAAGAATTTCATCAAACATGTGAATACGGTTATTAAACAAAATGCGTTAAATGTAATTCATTTAAAAAAAATAATTGTAGTCAGATTAAGATCTCTAATAGGCTGTTCTAATTTACTTTAAATGTATAATTTTAAAGTCAATTTTAAAATATGTTTTATTTAAGAACTCTATTATAGAAATAAGTCAAAAATTTTTCCTTTTCCATAATTAACAAGTGTACATAATACAAAATAAATGAATTAATGATATTCCACATTAAAGTATTTGATCCTTATTCACCTGTTTGTTGCTGATTAATTATTATAAATTGACTATCAGGACAGTCAGGGTAATATTTTGCAAAAAAGTGCTTTTGTTCCCGGGTTAAACAAATTTTGG